CTCGAACCATGGTTGGCCATGCAGGAGTCCAGTGCCATGCCACCTGCCAGTCCCAATTTTATTACTTTTTAAATTTATTTATTTCTGGGGCTGGCAGGTGGCATGGTGGTTAGGAACACTGGAGCCTCACATGGCTGACTTCAGTTTGACTCCCAGACCTGGTGGCTTGCTTTGTCACTCTCTCTCTCTTTCTCTGTCCCTCTCTGGTTAAGTTGAAAAATAAGTAAATAAATAAATAAAGTTAAATAAAATAATTCTTTGGGACCAGCAGTTGGTGTAATGGCTATGTCGCTGGACTCCCATGTAGTAGACTGTGGTTCAAGTTCCGGGCCCAGTGGCTTAAACTCACGCAGGGCGCGTGTGTGTGTGCATGCCCTAGATCCCGAGAGGAGAATGGAGGAGAAGGGACTGTGGTGTGGCCATCACCCTGGGGGATGATTTCTCGCTTTCTGTCTCTGTCTTTCTGGCAAGCACACATGCCCTATAGCAAAAATCTCTCCAGAAAAAAAAAATTATTTTTTCTCCCCCCCCTCATAACTTCATTTTAAAAGGTACACTTAGGGAAACAGCTGAGTTGGCTTTTAAAAAAATTTATAATTTATTAGTTTACATTTAATTGTACGTCTTTGTTTACAATATGGGTTTTCAAAGCATGTATGCAGCGTGGGGTGAGCTGGCCTCTTCAGCTCTAAACTTCATGACAGGACTAGCCACGTAAAACTACATTCACTCAAAGCTGTCCTGCGGTTTGAAGCACTAGAAGAAGTGAACAATCCTGCCATCTAATGGAAGAAAATGGTAAAACTCCGACTCAGCGGCTGTGTTTTGTGATCTCGATCATAAGCACAAGGCTCAAAGGACCAAAGTGAAAGAAAAAAAAGGATGGAACGACCACGTGACGGTCTCAGCGCCTGGTCCCTGACAGGGCTGTTCACCAGGGTTTTCGCGGCGCATCGTTCATACATCCAGAATGAGAAAGGCCTGGCCCTGCACGGTGGCAGTATCAGAACCAATGAGGTTTATCTGAGGCACGATTATTGCTGACTGAAACTGAATTAGAGAGTTTGGGCCCTGGAAGAGGAAAGGAAGGCTTGTTGAGTCGCAGTCTTCTGCAGATTCTCATGCTGGAATGCATCCACAAAGCCCTGGTGAGAGGAATCCCTCTCAGGGAAGAAGCACTTTCAAGCCTAAACAAGCTCGCTGGCTTCCCTGGGCACAGCCAGGAGGAGCTCTGGTTATGAAGCTGGGAGGCAGGGTACTCTCCCATCTCACCCCAACTCACTGTGCACCGCTGAGCAAACACCCGCACCCGGAGCGCTCTCTCCCCAAGGGCAATGCTCTTATCCTTTTTTTTGCTAGAGGGTCTGTATTTGCCAGAGAGACAGAGAGAGGAAAAAGCACCACCATGGGGCATGATTATTCCACAATCCTTTCCCTGTCTCTTCCTCCCCTGGGGGTTCTGGGCGCACCCTCACATGCCCAGCATGTTTTTCAAGTTATTGGGTCTGACGCTCGAACAGAACAGTTGGCCATGTGGGATCTGGCTGCCTTATCTACTAGGCCATGGAGCTGGCCTGCTCTTTATTTCCATTTTTTTAAAAGAATGATTTCATTTGACTTTATTTATTTAAATTCTACCAGAGAGGGACAGAATGGGAGAGAGAGGAAAAGTGAGAAAGCACACCACCAGGTCAGGACTCAAACCGCAGTCAGCCATGTGGGAGTCCAGTGCCCTTACCCACCATGCTACCTGATCTCCCAGCATTATTAACCAACTCTGGTCAGAGGCTCTGGAAGAACTGCGACCCCCCAGGATAAGGCACCGAGTCACTGCTCCGCGAGAAACATACCTGCTCAAATTTCCAACCATCAGACATGGTGGAGACCATTTGGGTGAGCTCCTCCTCCTGACACTGCAGGACTCTGTACACGTGCTTCACCGGGCCCTGCGACGAGCAAGCAGACCGTGAGCTGGCAGCCGAGCCAGACCGACCACAGGGCGCGGCGGCCTCGGAGAGGCTCTTCGGGGGGTCAACACCCAAGCGGAATCTGCTTGGAGGTTATTCCGAGCTGCCCAGTGACCCATTACAAGTTGCACCATAATTTTTCAATAGAAATGTCCTGAATGGAAATAAAAAGTCTAAGAACATGAATCAGTGGATAAAATAATTCTGAACTTCAGCGGGAGAATTTAACTGAGCAGCTATTCCCCATTTTCTTTTTTTTTTTTTGGAGAGAGATTTTCACTGTAGGGCGCGTGTGCTCGCCAGACAGACAGAGAGAGACATAGAGACAGAAAGCGAGAAATCACCCCCCAGGGGGGATGGTCACGCCGCAATCCCTTCTCCTCCATTCTCCTCTCGGGATCTTGGGCACGCACGCACATGCGCCCGGCGTGAGTTTTAAGCCACCAGGTCCGGGACACGAACCGTGGTCGACTACGTAGGAATCCAGTGACATAGCCATTACGCTAACTGCTGGTTCCCATTAACTGAGCAGCTATGCTGACAAACAATTTCATCCATTTTTTGCCCAAGAAAGTAGTTTCCTGAACTTGCTTATATCTGATATACATATGGAAAATATACACTGTGTTCTGGTTTACTCAGAGTGATGTAATTAAAGGAATAATGTAGTAAGATATTAAACAGGAACCCTATAATGTAGAAATGTTCAAACTGCTTAACCCTCTACTGATGCTACCTGAGTGTTTCAGTGGCGGACGGTAACACCCTGTTACAGAAGTGTGTGATAATAAAATCAATTTTGGGTTTTTACCAAAATTCCTGGTACAAGAGCTCCCTAAACACTTGGAATTTCCTGAGTAATAAGAGGTCTTCTGTATGCTAATGAGGAGACTCCTAAGGGCAGAAGGGAGAGCGCCAGAGAGCTTCAGGATGGGGCTGACTGCCTGAAAGACCTCACCTTGGAACCTCACGCCCCAAACCTGACCTTCCCAACCTGTGGGGAGGAAAGAGGGGCTGGAGATCAAGCCCAGTCACCAGTGGCCAACTGTTTAATCCTTCACGTCTACATGAGACCTTCATAAATCCTCCTACATGGAGGGGACGGGGGAGTTTCATTGCTGTGCATGTCCAGGCTGGAGGGTGGTGCACCCTGACTCCACGGCACTGGGGCTCCTGAACCACGGGCCCTTTCAGACCTCATCGTAAGTACGCCACTGGGCTGCCCAGTTGTATCCTTCAGCTAAACTCTAAGGTAAGTACAGCATTTTCCTGAGCTCTGTGAGCTGTCCTAGCACATCATCAAACCTGAGGGGGGTTGTCACGGGATTCCCTGAATCTGCAGCCAAGTGAGACAGAGGTGCAGCCTGAGACCAGGACTTGGCAGCTGGCATCTGAAGTGAGAGCGGTCTGTGGGACTAGCCCTAAGCCTGGGGAGTCTGACCCTAGGTCGGCACTGAACCAAATCCCAGGGCACCAGGCTGCTGTCGGAGCACCGGAGAAGTCACCCATGGGCCAGAGGTGCCTCTCCAGGAGGGAAGTGAGCTGGCCCTGCGAGAGGGGAGCGAAGGAGATGCCATGTTTAGGAATTTACACATGGCCAGGTTCATTTCAGAGCCAAGAAAGACAAGTGCGAACGAGGGTGTCTCTGAACATCACGTCCATTTCTCAGTTTCCCTAACCGAAAAGGACAGATGGAAAGATCAATGGACATCAAAAAGGTCTTGACATTCCCGGAACAAAGTTTCCAACTGGGTAAAGATCCACAAGCCTTCAGAACCCAGAGGACTAATTAACGTAATTGCTGTCATCAAATAGAAACCTTACAATGCTGTCTAGGAACTGGCTATCTGCAAAGAACAGACACCGTTCGGGTACCATGACTAGAATGGGCTCGAATTATATAACCCACGGTACCGTTAAAATTTATACTGGGACCAGCAGTTGGCGTAATGGCTATGTCGCTGGACTCCCACGTAGTCGACTGCGGTTCGCATCCCAGACCCGGTGGCTTAAAACTCACGCTGGGCGCATGTGCGTGTGTGCCCAAGATCCTGAGAGGAGAATGGAGGAGAAGGGATTGCGGCGTGACCATCTCCCCTGGGGGGTGATTTCTCGCTTTCTGTCTCTCTGTCTCTGTCTGTCTGTCTGGCGAGCGCACGTGCCCTATAGCGAAAACCTCTCAAAAAAAAAAAAAAAGAATTTTTTTTTTAATTTAACTTTATTATTATCACCATTATTTTCCAGTTTGGTCAGAGAGAGAGAGAAGGAAAGTGAGAAAGCAAGCCACCAGGTCTGGGACTCAAACCGTGGTCAGCCATGTGGGAGTCCAGACCCTCAACCACCATGCTACCTGCAGGCCCTGGTATTTTTTTCAAAGATGATTCAGGACCAGCAGTTAGTGTAATGGCTATGTCGCTGGACTCCCATGTAGTTGACCGCAGTTCGCGTCCCGGACCCGGTGGCTTAAAACTCACGCTGGGTGTGTGTGCGTGCATGCCCAAGATCCCAAGAGGAAAATGGAGGAGAAGGGATTGCGGCATGACCATCCCCCCTGGGGGGTGATTTCTCACTCTCTGTCTCTCTCTGTCTGTCTGGCGAGTGCACGGGCCCTATAGCAAAAACCTCTCAAAA